ATGAAACAACTCCGTAACTGTTTCGAATAATGCCAGAATCTCCTCAGTTAAACCAGCCAAGAAGCCATTTCCTCTATCTTCTGTCCTGACACAACTTGTATTTTGAGCACTAACAGACTGCAAAGTATTTCGCAGTCTGGAGTTGCTCCTGTTAATAGACCTCAGAGATAGTGAAGTGGAAAGCAATTTTCATTATGTAATTTCTTTAAAATGTGGCATTTAGATTAAAGCCACAAGAATATTCTCGTCTCCTCCTTCTCTGCCTTTCTGACTGCGCTTCCCAGTGCGTGGGGGCTCAAAAACGTTCTGAAAGGGGAAAGAAAAATAGCATATGTGATTTTGTATCCTGTCCAAGCTCAGTTTTACTCCAAGTTTTAACACTTACTAAATCAAAAAGAGAGAAAAATTCTTCCATATCAGAAACCTAAAGCACTAACATACTTCTGCCTTTCAACATTCAGTACACAGAAAAGGCTTGCAAGGTTAGATAGTTTAATTCTAAAAAGGAACAAAACAGCATTTTTCCACAAAACTCAAATACAAGACAAGCCTTAGAAAAGCACTGCTTTTTCCTATGTGCATAGGTTTCTCCAAGATTCACATCTATGAAAAAATGCTTTTTTTACATTCCCACTTGTTTCGCTGCCTTGAGCAAAGTCATAGGGAGCAATCATCCTTTAAAGTCAAATTCAAGTCAAACTGCTCTTCTGAAATCACATAGTGATCTGAAGTACCTGCTATCCAGGAAGATACTACTCTGCAAATCAAGCAACACTGGAGCTACTATTAAGCTTACTGTTTCAAAAGGCTGTCAGACCACATACAGAAAGATATTAAAAATAATTAATATAAAAGCTACTCCCCCACACTTGCAATATTTCACTCCAACAGGATAGAAAAATAAATTTCTGAAATTCTGAAAATTGTCAGTGGTCCAACATGTTGGCAAAAAAAGGTCACCGAAATGACATACAATTTATGTTCATCGCTTTTGCTTTTCAGAAATCGTTTCGAGTTGCTCAGGTTACTCATTAAAATGATGCGTTACACAAACAGTGGTTTGTGTGACAGCCTCACAGGTACATTGCAGCACATCTCTTTCACAGATTGCCAGAAGCAAAGCGGATAAATCAGGATGCAGGCACACATACCACCCGAGGTTGTCTGTCCTTCTCTGCCAACTTAACAAATCCATTTAGATCGGAGTTCTCTCTGACGCAGAAGTGAAGACAGGGGAAGAAGAACTAAGCTGGAAAAAGGCAAAAACCAGAACACCACCATGAAAATCGAGCACAAAAGTAATCCCTACAGCAACTACCAGCATTTGTCAAATTTTGTCACCTAGAGCACAGAAGTGACATTCTCTGAAAGCAGAAATGCAGATTTTACATTGCTGTTAGTAACGGGTGTGTAATCCAGTTATGGCTGCAGGCTGATTCTCAGAACTAGTTATCCGACTCGGGAGAAAGTCACCAGAAGACGCTCAAGCGTAGAGACCACTTCTGGCCAAGGAAGTCCCTGTGCCTCAATTTCTGAATGCCAGCAGAGCAACCTGGGGAAGCTACCAACCCCTCACCCTGCTTTCAGCAAGTATGAGAATAATTGCGTAAGCAACCATTGATGACTGTTGTTCTTATGGATTTTCTTGCTAGAGGAAAAAGTACTGAGCTAGACAGGCTTTTAGTCAGATCTGATATGCGACTCTGGGTTCCAGAAGTTAACTGTCTCAGCTGATTTCAGACATTGTTTAGTTACTACTATCATTAGTTCATTACAGGTTTCCTGCTACCACTGACTCATGAGCTGATAGCGGCAGCATGCTTTTAAGAAAATATACTTTGGTTTTCTACCAAAAGATAATTGTTCTTTCTTCAAATTACCTGCACAACTGGTTTGGCAAAGACAATTAAAGAGCACTAGGGCCCTGTTTGGGCACTGATCAGCTTGGCTGGAACCAGTGAAAGCTACCACAGAACCACACACCCAGTATCACCTCTCAAACCTCATTTCTCACCCCCTCATTTATGATTTCTGCAAGGTGGGAGTGAAAAGGGCCACATCTCCTATAAAAACAGGCAGAAATTATCTAGGTGAACCCCACCTCCTTCAGAAAACAGCATCATTTGTATGTCGTTCCGAGTCCTTTCATGACACACAGTGCATGCTCAAAAGCATGTATCCAACTGGATGGCCGAGCTGTCTAAATAGTCACAATGATTTATATGAAAAAGTTCTTTCCATTCACAAAGTCTTTCTGAAATTATTCAACATTAGACCTTGGTGGCCATTCTGTACAACGTGAAAAATCCTAAAGTATTCAAAAGCCTGGATTTAAATACTAATTGCTTACTAACAGTTTAGTAAGAAAAAAGCAATTAGGCTACAGAAGCTTAAAAAGCCATTACATTTATATGACTAGAGTTCCTCTTAAGAGAAAACTGTCTTGAGTATTTTTAGCGTCTAGCTGTTTCACTGGAGAGTCCCTAATAAATTTCATTATACTTTAAGCAACAGTACCACCTGTAGATGAAAAATGCTATGAACAATTTAGTAGTTTCACACATATTCCTTTTTGAGAAACTTCTTACTACAGTTAATGAATCATAATGAAAATGTAATGGAAATAATATTTACAGTCTTTATATCAGGCTGTGACATGATCTAATGACGAAGCACCTTTTGAAGGGAAACAGCATTCCAACATTTAGTGCAACAACTTACACCCATCACTGTGACACTACCAGCACAGATACAGGAGGGGAGCAGAACTAGCAAAGTAAACCACCACACCAAAAAGGTAACGGATTCTACAAGTTGAGCAAAAGTGAGGTCTTACTACTTTTCAAAATTTTAATAAACACTAAGTCCCAGTCTTATAGTTTAAGAGCTGTATGCACGAAAAGGCTCTTCACAATGCTCCCAAACTGTCAACGTTTATTCCAAAATTATTCAGTATCTCACAGGATCCTTAGCTGCTAAAACCATGGAACAGCAGAAGGCTGACAATGCAGGTTTGAACGTGAAATGCTATTTTTACCCACGTTATGCCCAATATCTTTACTATATACACTGATAATGGAGTTCAGTCTAATGACCATTTATTGTATTTACAAGTTAACTATTGTCTTCTCTCTCTCTCTCTCTCTCTCTCTCTCTCTCTCTCTCCATTCTGCTATCTCTACCACTGCTTACTGCATCAAAAGGTAAAGTAATGATATGATCAACACTACTTATATAAGGAAAAGAAACATAAAGTGACATCCTACTAGGTAAAGATAGCAGAAAGAAAAGTTGCATTTGTTCCTTGGAGAATAATGACTATAAGCTATCCGAAAAAAAGAAATCTAGTACACTTTGCTGCCACTTAGAATCTCTCACTCTCTGTCAACCGTAAAATCCTGTGGCCCCTTCTCTCTAAGCCTTATTTTAGACTCCTTCAAAGTTCCACTAGGTGGCAGTGACTCTTAACTTATTACAGGTCCCTTTTCAAAATACTTTAAATCTTCGGGTTTAATATGTAATCACAACTCAGAAAATTGGTGCTTATCTTTGATAGACCAAGAAATAAAAATTGGAAAAAATGCTTTCTAGGTTTAAGGAGTTTTACACAATTCTCTGAGAATCTGTTTTACAGCATCCCTTAGAAAATTAATGAAATGGAGAGTGTCACCAGTTGGTTGATGTGAAGTCATTCAGAACTAGATTGTGCTGTAAGGTCCTAAATAAGAGAATTTACTCGGGGGCAGATAAGAACTTATCCCTCACAGTTTCCATCATTCCAAACTACTTTCATACTTGTATTAATTTTGTCAAATCATTTTGGCTGAAAAAACTCAAATATTTTTGAAGATTATTTGTGAAGTGCAGGAGGCAGTGATTACCTGTGATTCCCTCTGATTTAACCTGTGCTCCAACGGCCAAGATGTTCATGTAGGACTGCAATAAATATTCTCTCTTCAGCACAAAGAGTTATTCACTACAACTACTGCCATGTTCCTTCACTGTTTTGCCTCCAGAAAGTTAGTGCAGAAAGCCTGCTGTGCTGCAGGCTCTGTAATACCCAAATCTTAACTATCTTTTCACAGAATCAGAGGCTGGAAGGACCCTCTGAGATCATATAGTTCAACGACTCTGCTCAAACAGGGCAGGTTGCTCATGACCACATCTAGTTCGGTTTTGATTACCTTCAAGGATGATGCAACTTCTCTG